CTCTCTCTCTCTCTCTCTCTCTCTCTCTCTCTCTCTGTCTCTCTCTCTCTGTCTCTCTCTCTCTGTCTCTCTTCCTGTTCATCTGTCACTCTAACTCTCTCTAACCCTCCCAGCCACCTCCACACACAAACACACATTAATTAATTAGTTAATTAATTAAAGATTAAATTTGTAACTAGATCCACCTCAAAGGCCGTGACAATTCTTGGGACAGACTTTGCACTTAGTTTATACAGTTAACAGGGAGGATTGTAGTGGCCAGCTACTCCTTTTGTGGCCACACGTCACTATCTGCATACATCTATCCAACCCCAGGAGCAATGTCTATATCTTCTTATGACCTCAAACTGTCCATGGAGGAGGGACTTGGACCTTTGCCAGTTCCTGATGAGCTGGTTGGGCTTGTTGTGCTAACCCTACATCTTTGTCTCTGTGACAGCACTGATTCAGGCTCTGTCACCATCTACAGCAGCTCTGCAGGTCGGGACTGTGCGTGAGGGTGCACATATTCTACTTCTGTGCTACACACACAGTAGTCACAGGTCCCGTGTGCTGACTGGACACTGTCAGAGCACAGCTACAGAACTATAAAGAGAAATCACTGAATCTTCCCCTCACTCGGGATGAAACTTCTGCTGTTTGCTCTGGTCACAGGTAGGATCCTTGTCCCCTCTGAGTTCCCTACCATCTCCCCTGTCTTCAATGTGCAGTCCTTTGCTGGTCATTCATCAAGTTCTGGTTTGGGGTTCCTTTGTGTCCCGGCCAGTGGGATCTTCAGCAGAGACCCTAGAAAAAGGCATGGCGAATGAAGGGACAAGAGACACAAAGAATTGACAGCAAGACAGTATTCTGATCAAGCAGCAAAATTTTACTTTTCTCAGGCAGGTTTTATAGCAAGCAGAGCAGGAAGCTTTCTTTGAGAAGAGATCAGGGGACTGTTGGGTTGCTAAGCAACCCAACCACAAAACATTGTTACTAATGGTCAGTGTAGCAGAAAGAGAAGGAAATGTTCAGTTATTTTCTAATAACCCAGGACTTGTCCAGGCATGTCACAAGTTTCTGATTAGTGGCTCAATATAGAAACAACTCAGGCAGGCAATATGGCATGGCTCTTACAATTGTCCCTGTCACCGTTGGGGTCTAATAGCCTGTGGGTTTGGGGTCAAAGGTTCTCAAAAAGGAAGCTAGCAGGCAGGCATCAAACCCTTGGTAATGGCAAGAGGGATTGATGGAGTGTGCTGTGCCTTTTTCCAGCAGGTGCTACCACATCCCGAATCAGCACTCGGGCTGAGTGGAAGTTTGACAATCTATTCCAGTGCACCCTTCCTGGGATCTTATTTTTCCCGGAGTACAATTACTATGGCTGCCGCTGTGGCGTTTTCATCAGGAACAGCTGGGTGGAAGATAGGTGAGTGATCCATCTGGGGGAGCCTGGTGTGTCTGGGCTGTTGGGGACAAGGTACAAGCAGAACATCTCATAAGGCAAGAATAGAAAACATGCACATTCACCATAATCATGTATTTTGTTTTGTTTATTTATTATTTGTTTGTTTTGTTTCTAGACAATGGTTCTCTGTGTAGCCCTAGTTGTCTTAGAACTTTCTGTGGAGACCATGCTGGCCTTGAACCAGAGATCTTCCAGCCTCGGCCTCCTGAGTGCTGAGATTTAAGGTGTGTATCACCACATCCAGCATATATTTTCACCTCTTGTCATGTAAAGAAATCAGTCCCAGGGGAACCTGTATATAGTGGTCCCTGAAATAGAATGTGTGTAATGTAAATAGTGGACAATGCTGGGCTCAGGCACCAGACTAGGTCATGGCCAACCATCACAGCCACCATCAAAACATCAGCTTTGAATTTAAAATGTCATTGAAACTTTGGAATATATAATTTCACTTTCTTCCTGCAGCTTTGCTTAAAAAATCACATTTTGGATACAGGATCTCACTTATATATCCCTGGTTGATCTCAAACTCAGAGATCCATCTGCCTCTGCCCCCCAAGTACTGAGAATAAAGGCTGGTACTGACCACACTCCACAGAAATGGCTTTCAATAAATATGTGCTTAATAGAAACCACAGGTTTTTGATCCTGAGGAAGACTACTTC